AACAACAAGTGTATGCAGATATATGAATAATATGTTTGTATGTGTGTATCTATGTAGATACGAGTAGTCAAACAAAATTGAGTGCCTTTCAGCACACTTCTGGACAGCGACAAGTCGAAGTATGTAAATATGTATTGGTAAATAAAAGTTTTAATTTTGTATAAATTAAGGTGGACCCTAAATAAAAAAAAACATACAAAAATTATTATTTTTGGAATTTTTGATTAATGCATTTTAACAAATTATTATTCTTATAGGGAATTTAACGATCCATAAAAAGAAAGCGACTCGTTCAAAAGATATTCGAGGTCAAAACAATTCGATCTTAACAATTTCTTCGGACATTACATCATTTTCTTAGACAATAAACCATGCCAAATTACATGGAGATATGCTATAGTGGTCCGATATTGGCCGTTCCGACAAATAAGCAGCTTCTTGCTGAGAACAGATTTCAGATTGATATCTCAAAAACTGAGAGACTAGTTATCATATATACAGACAGACGGACATGACTAAATCGACTGAGCTCGTTACGCTGATCATTTATATATACACTCACTTTATAGGGTCTTTGACGTTTTCTTTTGGGCATTACAAACATCGTGGAAACCTTAATAAAAATTGTTCAGCGTTTAATAGTAGTTTTATTTTGTCCCACCCTAGTATTAAAGTATGTATATAAGTATATATGCGGATATGTAAGACACTGATTGCTTGCTTCTAGATGAATATATACATATATATCTGTAGGCCTCAAACGCTTCATGCTTCCTGAATGATTTTGCTCTTCTCACGTGTATTTTGTTGTATTATTGTTGTATACTTGTATGTTGTTGCAATTTGAATGATGATGAATGGAATGTGAAGTCAGTACGACCTATTGCCAGCAATTAGCGAGAGCAGCGATTTTTATGCCAAAACGGCTGAGATGGACAAGAACTGGGCGCACACAAAAGCACAGAGAAAGCATGTGTTTGTGTGTGTGTATGCGTGTGGGACTGAAAAGTCATTTGCAACAAAAGTGGTAGGTGAAAGAAATCGGGCACGTTGTTGCAGATTTTCTAAATACTCTTTGATTATATACACGCGCTCAGATTGATATCTGCAACACTTCCATATATGTTTGTAAATATATATCGACCAAATTGCACTTGCACACACTTGACATTTGTGTGTGTGTGTATGCAGCGCTATTGAACAAATTGAAAATCGCTGCAAAACACTAACAAGGCTGGAAATTTGTTGCAACTATAATAACAACAGCAATAACAAACGCAACAACAGCAATAACAAAAGCAACAACAACAACGCTACGCGAAATCAAAGGTAGCGCGTCCGCCGCTACAGCTGTTTGCTGTAGCATTGCATTAAATTGATGTTGTTGTTGTTGTTGTTGCCTGCACAGAACTGGTAGCAAAATGTCTAGCAAAGTTTGCAGTCTAACTGGCTGACTTGGCTATGGATGGCCAGTAGTCGGCGCACAGTGAACAGTGGGTTGAATGGGCGGTCAGGCGTTAGGCAAGCTGATTCGCTTGTTAGTAGGCTGAATGTGGCAAATGGGGGCAAAGCTTGCTTGGCTTGTTCATTTGGCAAAATATACACCAGCATACATTTTGAAGATGTCGTGGTAGGGGAAAACCGGAAAACTTAATGTGCATAAAAAAATTAATAAATCAAATATCGTCTTTGTTTTTTTAATACTCTTCTTGTAAATTTGTTTTTGATGAAGCAGGTTTTGAGTAATTAAAAAAATGTAGAAAATATTTATTTTTCTTCAAAGTATTTTTTTTCACAAGTAATATTTGTGGCGATAGTAATTTTTAATTTTTTTATAATAAAATACTGCTGTCTTTATTATCTTTGCTGAAGGGTGAAAGGAAATAAAATTGTTTTTTTTATATTTTTGGTATATCTTATAATTCAAAAAATATGTCATACCATCCACGGGTGGTTATGGTTTCTTATAGCATAAAAGTATATGAAAAGATCTATTTTTTCATTTGGATCGCACAGTTTGAATAGTGGCTATATGCTAAAGTAGTCCGATCTAAACAATTTTTTCGGAGATTTTGTCGTTGCCTATGACAATAAGCCATGCCAAATTTTGTGAATTGTATCTTGTCAAACAAGAGAGTTGAGGAACAGCACGTTCTAATTAGCATTATATTATATAATCTTACACAAACTGAAATTTATCTATGGCAACATGTTAAAACAAAGTTACAGAGCTTAAGTCAGCCTAAGAAAATGAGATGCCTTTATGTCTAACAAAAATCTCTGCCTAATCCTCAACTATATTTGATCGTATTGAGAACCTTCCCATTTAAAAGTAGTGCTCCAAACGAAATTCAACGGTGAGTAGCGTGTAAAATAGGCAGAATAATTAAACTGATTATCATGTACCTTAGGCGATTTAAGATTTTATATCCACTTGCAAGTCAGGAAAATTTTTAAATTTTAAATTTTTTATTATTTTATTTTTTTTCAAACATTCTTTTATTTAATATATATAGATAAAAATTGTTTACATTTACAGAATCTTATGAACTTTAATAATCGGTGATTCATTTTGAAATATTTTGGGTTCCCTTCATACCGTAGCCGATATCTACCTAGGAGGACCTTTGAAAAAAGTTATATGGCGGCAAGAAAGTTTTTTCTGCTTAAATTACATAAAATCTAAAATCCATAAAAGTTTATTATTACTATAGATGAAAACAGTATCGTTCGAAGGACTAGTAAAAATTTAGATTTTTTAAAATATAGCGGCTTCCCAAATAAAAGCATTAAAAATATTATTTCTTCGATCAGCACCTGACAAATATATTAGAAAAGTTCGTATGAAACCACCAAGGCAATCGAACCCATAGATTTAACACGTAAAGCTACTTTAAGACTTTGGCGATAATTTTTTTATTTTTTATTAATAAACCAAAACTATTTTAGAGCATTTAAATTCTTACTTTTCAAGACCAAAACAATATTTATTCATTTTTAATACTTTTGCCCATAAAATATTAGTCACGTTACAAATCTAGCTTGGAAAATAAAACACTTGTGGTCTCGTTTAGAAGAGCAATTAAGTTTCTAGTAAACACTTGTATATAAAAACACATACACATATATACATATTTGCTTGCAAAATACTATACAAAATAGAGCATATAATAAATAATTAAAACAGCAATACACATACTTGTATACATATATACAATATTTACAAGCACATAAGTAGTATATTATATGTTAGCGTGTAAAAACTAGTAAGCTGCGCTCCACCCGCTAAAGCGCTCAACTACTCGTATAAAATTAACTAATTTGCTCATATTACAAAACATTGCTTCTATTTATATTTATCTGACTGGTTTTATGTTTGTTTGCTTTTGTTTTTGTAGTAACAAAGCGTCTTTAGTGCAGCTTGGCATGAAAAAAGCGCGCGTGCTCTCAAGATTCTTGACACTATTTAGCTTTGCTTGCTTTTATGTATTTCATAATGAGTATATATGTGTTAATGTATACAGTTATATGGATGTACATGCATACATATGTATATATATAGTTATATTTACCACATATGTATGCAAATGCGCTGGCTATTAAATCATGGCTTAAATAAAATTAAGAATGGCGGTAATATTTAACGCTTTTAATCTGTTTTGTTTGCGAATCCGAGGTAAAGCGTAAATAAGTAAAAGAAACAACAAAACCAGATATGCACGAAATTTATTTATTTTTAGAGTCTATTTGGAGCATATTTTCATATTTTTTTTTTGTGAATTTTGTTATAAATAACTTTTTACATTTATTATTTTTGTTTTTACTAAGGTAATTCAGAAAATATATTTTTAAACTGTTAATGAAATATATAGTTTTTTAATTTTTTACTGTTTATTGATATTTTTTCAGCATTATTAATATATTTTTGTGAGATTCTTTTTAGTATTAAACGAAATAATGTTAAGATTTTTGATCTGCTTTGACTATGAATTTGACATAAAGTAAGGAACATGCTTTTTCTCCGTTTTTAGTCTTTATCTGAAACTTATTTAAAAAAATTGTACGTAAAAGTTTTTGTAATAAATTTATTTGTTCCATTTTATATTTTTCTTTAAGGTAATTAAAAAAAAATTTTTTTTTTTTATTATATTTATCTTATTTATTATCTAAGGCAAAATAGATTAAAAAAATTGTTTCTTCTTAAATATTAAAATTGTATTTAAAAGTTTTTGTTAAAATTTTTTTCGTTCTAATTCCTTTAAGGTATTTAAAACAAATATTTTATTAAGAAAAAAACATATTTTTTATCTACGTAATATAAATTTCTTTAAAATTGTATATATTGTTATATATTTTCTTATAAAATATTAAATTTTTTTTTTATATATATTTTTTTTCTATTCTGAAAGTAAAATGTTTTTTAGGTAAAACTATTAAATATTAAAAATATTAAGAAAATATTTTTGCTGCTTGTTTTGAGTCCATTTATTTATTTTCTTATTGAACGAATCTTATTTTTTAATATTTTTTTTAATAATATGTACAAAGGATAAAATGACGACAAAAAATTTTAATTCAAAAAATTTGGTTTTCAGACTTATTTGAATATATAAAATTTTTATATTTATTTTTATTTATTTCATCTTCACTAAAAAAATTATATATTGTAGAATTATAAAAACTTAATAAAATATATTTGTTTTAAATTATTTAATTCAGAATCATTCTTTTTTCGTTTATAAAAATCTTTTTTTTTATTCAATAATTTTGTTAATTATAAATAATTAAATATTTTTTCTATATATAATTTTTATTTATTGTTTTTTTTTTTGCTTTTTTCATATATTAAAAATATTTTTTTGTTTAATTATTTTGTTAATTTATATATTAGTGATTTTTTATTATTTTGTTTTGTCTATTGATTTATTTTAAATATTTGTCATTTAACTACTTTATATTTATTTAATATTTATCACCAACCCACTTCACAATTTACTTACCAATTTGTCTTTCTTCAAGTCGCCTGAAATCTTTTTCTTTATCACCAAAAGTTTGCTTTTTGATAACACGGCAGATTTTCAGTAAAATTTATTATCAAATATATTTTATTTTTAATTTACTAAATTTGTTTTTCTCTGTGTTTTTATAATGATTTAAATTTGCACTAACAACATGTAAACAAAAAATTTTTCACCGTTTTGTTTTCAACTACAAATTTCCTTAGATTCGCATTTAGGTGATTTGAGGATTAACTTGCTGATTTATTTGTTTGCAAACACAATTTGTTAAACACGCTCCACGAAAATCGCACAAACAATGCTTATCTATTGAGCTACTCGCACTCGTACACGGTCGCCTTGTGATAAAAAAGATTTTTTTGCGAAAAATTCAACTTCAATTTATTGACGTAAACACAAGCGTCTAAGTACCGTTAAAAGCGAGTTTGGACGTAAATTTTAATTACTAATAATATAGTAATAATTTTAAAGAAAATTTGATGAATTTACTTTTGTGGTTAACACTTTAAAATTCGCTAAAATTTTGCGCTTTTACGCCACGAATTCACTACGCGTTGCACGTTTACACTAGTAAAATAACACTCGCTGGATGATGTCACGTCTTCGACCGGCTTCAAGCGTTTGACTGCAAACTGTTTGCGCCCGCTGGAGTTAACCAAAATGCAGCGCGCTCTGACAACTCAACAAATGTGTAAACATGAGGGGAAAATAACATAAAATTCATCAAAAAGAAACCGCAACAACCAAAGTCACTCGTTTTTGCTCCATACAGTTCATCAGCTGGTTGTTTGTCTACTTGGAATTGTCGCTCACAGCTGTTTTGGTGCGCTCAAATGCTCACGCAGCGCGTGCCGTTAAACTCTCACGAAATTATCTGAGCGATATTTTCAGTATCTATGTGTCTTTAGTTTGGTTGCATGCTGTCGTTGTAGTAGTGTTAAGTTCGCTCTCTGAGGCAGAGTGTGTTAATTGTTTGAGCTCTTCGTTGCAATTTAACTCATTATATGCTCCTGCTAATAATCAACGATGCCCAACAGGTGTTCATGCAACGGCTCTAGTTGAGTATTTGAGTACTGGTACTTGAGTCATAGTAAAGGAGCACGCGTTGTTTTGACGTAATTTGCAAAAGTAAACAAATGGTTCTTTTTTTGACGAAGATATTTGTTAATACAAATTTGTTGGGATGGTATAATATTATATATTAAATTGTGATTTCAATATGTTATTTTTTTTCAAGCTCCTATTGACTTGTAACGGTAACAAACGATTACCACTCTCATTTATAGTTTTCCAGCTCTTGGCCTTCCATGCTACGTTGTTTATACCACTTGTTCTTGTAGTGTGGCGAATCGATCAAATAATAAATAAATACGATTAATTGGCATAATGCAATATAGATCGAATAGCAAGTGATTATACCACTTTACATAGTTACAAACACTCTTGTTTTGAATTCAATCGGATAACTTTCACGTTCCTTTAATTATACCCTGAACAGGATGTATTAATTTTGCTATGAAGTTTGTAATACCCAAAGGAATACGTCGGAGATCCTTTAAAATATATACTTGTATAATAGTCATCAGCGTGATGAGCTGAGTCGATTTAGCCATGTTCGTCTGTATGTCGGCATATACGGAAAGTAATTCTTCAGTTTTTTAAATGTCGGTCTAAAAACTTCCACGCGAAGCTGCTCATTTGTCGGAACCGCCGATATCGGTCCACAATAAGATATAGCTGCTATACAAATAGATCGAACAAACTCAAGCACCTGTATGGGAAACTTTTGTTACTTGATAATAATAGATTCATAAAATTTAGCACAGAATTTGGTCGAAGTCAGCGCGAAGGTGGTATTTCTCACAGCAACTTTTTGTGAAATAAATAAATGGCTCCGCGGTGCCTTGGGTCTTGCAGAACTCACTCTTTTGAATATTTTTTTCTAAAACACATAACAAATGGGACGCTAATCGGTTGGTTAACAAAGATCCTAGCGATACTGATATGTTGTATTATACAATATATGCTGGGTTGGGTTAAGTATCTTTTGTAATCGATTACATCTTTCAAAGTATCTTCAATATATTGTTTGAAGTACATATATAGAAAGTTTTGTGAAACTAATACTTAGACAATATAGAAAAATATATGTTTTTTAAAATACAATTTCTCTACTTACGTATTTTAAAACTCGAATTAGCCTGAGTGCAGTTTAGGATACTTATAGTCCATATATAAGTGGAATTTCGATAATTTTAGGTAACAGTCTTGTGTTTCGACTATCTCTCTTGATACTTGTATTAGTGCATATTGCATACTTTGAGAATGGTGAATCGAAGAAACAAATTGCTTAAATCGAAAAGAGATGAAATACGATTAAGTTCTATCATTTAAATAAAGTACTTAGCACATATTATCTGGATAATAGACAATACAAATTTAGTCGTATAGTGGGGAAGGTTCCAATAATTATGTAAACTGGTAAATTATTAAAGTTCCAATCAAGAAAGTATCAGGAAAGTTAAAATACTAAATTTTCTTGTTGCCAGGAGTGAAGATCAACAAGAATTTTTTTTTCTGGGTGAATGTGACTTGAAGATGAAGCAGTAAAAAGGACTAACCCTAAAACAGGCCGAACTAGTGCCAGATATGCCTTTCTTTAAGCTATCCATGATCGGTCATTTGGGTTGAATGCGCGGAAGCAGTGGTAATTGCAGTCCTCTTCAGAGTCTATGAAAATAGCGCACTTATAGTCCAAGGGACTTTTATAGCCACTTAAAAATGCCTTTCTGTGGACAACTAAGTCGTAACAAAGCGCTCAACGCTTCGCAGATAATGCACTGATAAGACGAGGAAGGTGAGCTAATATAAAATAAAATTAAATTAGCGTCTAAACAATAAAACTGGGCAAGTAATTATCAAGTGACTACTTGAGGCTAGCTGACAACTAAAGTAAATATGTGAGTATGTGTGTATGTTTAATTGTATATAAATTTTTTTAAAGCGCTGGCAAAACGAAGGCGAGTAAAAGCCCCACTAGGCGTTCATTAAAAACGCATAAGTGAGTTAAAAGAGAACATAATATATGTGTGTGTGTGTAATAGAATATGATTAAGTAATAATCGGAGCTACAGAGTTGTTTTCATGTACATATGTACATACTGATGAGCTGATTGTAGGATGTAAACAGAACGAGCTATAATATAAGCAATTGACGGCATGAAGTCAGTTTTGCATACACACATATATACACACAAATACAAATAGGCGTTGCGTCGGCGCACAAGCATATCACACGCATTGCTTGTCTTGCTTTTGTCATTGCTTTTGACGCGGTAGGAGTGCTGCACTCAAATATTGGCTGGGATCGTTTATCTCGCGCCTATTCGATTGTTTACCTTAAAGCTGATCTCATAAATATGCCTGAGGTATGCCTGTATAAGTCTGAGTGTACCTATTATATACATACATATGTATACAAATAAATATTCGAACAATCAAAATGATATTAACATTTTATGTGTATTTAAATGGCAGCGTCAAACCGCCGCGTCACCAGTCACCAGTCTTCAGCCACTACTCAGCGACGTTGCCGCAAATAATAGCGTTAATCCCCTGCGTCGACTACAAATCTCCTGGTTGAGCGTTATTTTTCATGACCCAAGCGGCGCTGTCGCCACTGTCCGTTGTCGTCGGCAAGCGCAAATCCATAAATTTCACTGCAGGTGACAATACCTGTACCGGGAGCCCGGTGTAATCTCGGGTTTGGGCAGCCAACGGAAAGAATAACCAATAACGCTGTCGGACATATGACCAACCGGGCACTAAATAATAGCTAACAGACAAAGGCAAGAGTATTATATGTATATATATATACAAATTAGCCACATATTTGTATGTTTACATGCACTAATCTAAATGTATATGTGTATCTTTGAAGGGTCATAAAAAGGCAATAGTCACCGTTATTGACACCTGAACTGCCGCTGAAACTCACGCCTGCTGTTCCTTAATTAGCAGGTCGGCTAAGAGGCAATTCGCCGGTAGTCAAGGACCAAAGTCAAGCAGCTTCGATTGGCTGGAAACATTAGCTGCATGAAATGACAGTATGAGTCACTTATTGCAGTGAAGAATTTGAGAATTTGCTTATATTAAATTGATAACAATAAAGATAAGAATGAAATAAGAAAGAAGTAACATATACATATAATGAACAATACACAAAAAAATCTGCCCTAATGATAGTGCAAACATTGAACGCAATAAAGGGCGAAATTATTATGATAGATATTTAACAACTACAGTTTTTAGACATAACAAATATCTTATGTTCTTTATTTTCATTGTTACATTCTAGGAATGAAATAATTCTTTTCTGCTAAATAAAAGTCGATATATGTAGAAAGTGTGCTCCTTTGGAAAACAACTCCACATTCATCAAAAATTTTTCAAATAACTTTAATTGGACACCCATAATTATATTAAATTAGTTTTACTTAGAAATTTCAATTAGGTGGCAACTCCCCTCAAAATTATTTTCTTATTTTCTTATTGTTATTTGACTTGCCATTTCATAATGAACAGACATACTGTGGAACAACGTTTGCAAATTTATTACCAAAATAATGGTTCAAAGGCGCAATGGCTGTTGTGGAGCAGAGTATGCAAGAAGACCCGAATGAGTCCATCGGAGCTGTGACGATCCATTTTATGAACACTAATGCGCGTCGCAGGTTCGGTGAATTGACCCAAAATGAGATGGCCGCCGATATTCACAACAAAACTTTGTCCAGCGATGAAACTCACTTTTGGTTGAACGGGTCCCTTAATAAACAAAATTGTCGCATTTGAAGTTATATTTTCAAACAGACACGGTTTGGTGTACTCAATGGGCAGAGGGAATCATTGCTCCATATTTCTTCCAAAATGAAGCCGACCATATTGTTATAGTCAATGGGAAACGCTATAGAGCCACGACTAATGACTTTTTCGTGCCTGAATTGGAGAATGTTGATGTGAAAGACCTTTGGTTTCAACTTTTGGTGGGTGTATTAGCTCGCGTCTTGGGCCTTCAAGATCATGCGACTTAACACCAATGGACTATTTTTAGTGGGACTGTGTGAAGTCGCTCGTCTACGGAGTTAAACCTTATGGGAGAATATTCGTAACGTTATTGCTGACATACATCCCATATTGCTGCAAAAAGTGTTAGAAGCAGGAATTTAATCGAGCCAGCCGCGGCAGTCACTTGCCCGATGTCATTTTTAAAACATAATGGCAAACCGTTATTTTTATAATAGAGCTAAATTCTTGGCCATAACATTAAATTATATGTGTTTTATTTCTTCTAAAAAAAACACCCTTTACGTTGATATTAGCAATTTTATGAGATTTAACATTTTCAAACTAGTCGCAATCCTTCTAAAAAATATCCTCGACTGAAAACTACCTTAAAGCACATATTATAATTCATTGTTATACTTAATTTATTTTGCCCACTTTATTGAAGGAAATTAGTAATCATAAAACAAGGTTTGCAATTGTTAGCTTACTAAAATCTATTTAGTTTAGTACGGAAACTATACTTATAACTATACTATACTAATTAAATTATTTTATTTTATTAAATTGAAAAAAGGTGGCAATTTTCCTCAATAAATATTTTACAATTTATATAAATATGAGCATTCTTAAACCTCGTTACGCATTTTAAGCATTTATT